CCCGTCCTACCCGCTCCACCATCGGCGGTCAGACCTTCAGCCTCTCTGCCCCGTCTTCGAGCTCTTTCATTTAGTTCTTCACTGAGGACCGACCGCCAGGGCATTTGGCCAGAACTAACGAGCGTGGAAGGCAGCAACTGAACCAACAGCTCTCAGATCATCACTATCCACCTTACTGAGCTGGGATGTGCTCAGTTACAGTAAGATTGAAGGGCAAGCTCTTTGGTCTACAAAGAGGAAGCCAAGAGCAGAAGCTGGGGACTGGCCGATGGCATTTTCAATAAAATAAGGCAATCTTCAGCAGAGAGAGATTTCATCCTCGGGGGCAGACTGCCCATCAAACATCTTGGCAAGGAGGCAACATGCAGCACACCGTGAACTGAAAGCAGAGAGATGTCCGCAATAATGAGAAACACGGGAAACAGAGTACACGGTCACTATTGCCGTTATTATTATTTTTCTTATAATCACAGACTTCGTGTCTGTGTTCGTGTCGTGTTCGTGTCACTTCGTGTTCCACCAACAACAAAGCCAACGTATTTTCACCATTCCAATCACTCATGAATAAATCCAACTAAAACACCAGCATAAAATCCCCCTTCGGAGGAGATGTAAGATTAATCTGAACAATTCTCTACAGTCGTATTCTTCCCTGTTCCAGTAATTCTAGGGTATATCATTAGGCATATGTTTGCTGGTGCGGGCTAGACATAAAAAGCGAAGAGATGCACCGCAGAAGATGCTTCTGAAGATGATCTTGAATGAACTCAAAGCTCTGAAGCCGCTTAGAACCGAAATCATTTTCCGGTTTATTAGTGAGGAACTGGAGAAGAGAAGATTGTAAGGGGCCATTGAGCTGATCTTTAAAATATTGAGGCACAGACAGAATGTGTGTGTAATGTAGGCTATGAGCATTGAATTGGTCCGACCTTTTGGTTGCTGAGAAGCATCCACGGGCCACATCAGGAATATTTTTGTGTTTCTCTTCCAGAAACATAACATTTCGGGTTATGGGGTGGTGGGGGGTGGGGGGGGGCGGGTTTGGGGGGGCAGACAAATTCAGCCCATGGGCCTGATGTGTACTGAAAGGAAAAGTACACTTGTGAGTAACGTGTCTTTAGGGAAATGAGAGATTAAATAGAAAAATAGTCAAGACTGTGTGAATTAATAACTAAAAGAATAAATCTAGACAAGCGTCTGATTAGGAACAGGATCTAATAATATTGAGGGAACCCGACATTGACAATGATTTACTGGGTGCAAGATAATCCCATGCTCCTGGCACCAAGAAAATGTCATCTCTGCAGAGCAAAAAAAAAAGGTCAGGTTTGAATAATAAGATTCATCCAAATCGTGGCATTCAACTTGACCTTCTTTGGAAGTTGAGAAAAAGTTTCAGCAAAACTTTCAGTCTACGGGGGATTAAATAATGCGAGATACAGTCAGAGTCTATGATAGGAAGGAATCTCGATAGAGATAGAGCGAGACTAGATGGGCCGAGTGGTCTCTCTCTCTATTTTTTTAAGCTTTCTTGCGATGTGATTTCAAAGCAATATTGACAAGAAGCAGACCATAGTCACTGGCTTGGATCAGAGAACTCGTAGTTGTTTGCCATCGACCATCATATTTGTTTTCAGCTGTAATTATGATTAATTCGAGGCCCAAACTGTGCACGAGAACAAAAGAGCAAACGCAAGGTAGGTCAAGGAAATTTGGTTTTCTCCAGCCCAGAGGCAGGAACCAACATTAATCTGTTTAAAAAAACCAAAGCGGTTTTCAATGACATTTAAGAGTATTTAACATCGCTGGATTTAAACAGGGGACTTAATACAGGAATACACCGCAATGTTGCGAGAGGCGGGTGTTGCATTTTCGGAGGTTCTGTCCTTCGGATGAGATGTTAAACCGAGGCCTATTCAGGAGGATGTTAAAGATCCCTATTCCTGAAGAGAAGAGAGTTTCTCTCTCCCAGTGTCCTGGCCAACAACCCCCCCCACTCCCCAAATAAAATTACTCACCCACTCCACGGTTGTTTGTGGGACACCGCTGTGTGCAAATTGGCTGCCGCTTTCACCCACGAAATACACATTGAACACGCTTTACAGTACATCCCGTGAAGCGCTTTGAGACGTCTCGATGACACGCGAAGGCGCTGTATGAAGTGTATAGAGCTGAACTAGAAACTGCTTCTAGCTTTCGGAAGCAGTAATTGAAAGATGGAATTTCAAAGGACAAAGCAACCAAAGAACTTTTCTCAGGCATTATCCTGGAATATTGAAGAAAATTTGAACACTTGCAGGGGATTGCGGGAGACAAAGATTATAAGATGAATGAAATGTTGAACGATTTTCCTCTTGAGGATTTTTTTCTTCCTCAATAGAAAACAACGGAAGGATACGGAGCAACACAAATTCATGCAGAAAATACTGAAATGGCCATTCAAAGCCTAAAGGGCTTGAATATTTATAAGGGAAAAGTAGAATTCTTCCAAGACTACATCGGGAAATGCATGAGAATCTTTGACTGAAAGCTTTTGTTCGGTTTCAGTAAAAAGAGTAATATCACACCATTGAAAGCTGGCTAGTTAATGTCCCTTTGAAATAAAGGTTGCGAGTGTGAACCTGGGAATGGTAGGTTGGTTAGCTTGACATTGGTGTCTGTATGAAAGAAGCAATTTCAAGGCATTTAATGGGGAGGGGAATAGCTGTAATTCCAAGCTGATGGAAGTTTATAGAAGGCAGGTCACAGCTATAAATCTATCACAAATCTTTGACAATGACGAGGAATTGGGATATTATTACATTGTAGCTTCACCTCTTAGAAAATTGGGTCACAGTGCAACTTGTGGGTGAACGTGACAGCCGATTTGCACTCAGCAACACCCCACAAGCACAAACAGTGTGTAGTGAGCGAGCAATTTTATCTGGAGGATTGTTGGCCAGAAGACTGTGAGAGAGATTCCCTTCTCTTTCTGAATCGCCTCTTTGGGATCTTTATACCTGAAAAGACAGGTGGGAACTCATCTCAGCCGAGGGCACTGCAAATATCAACAACAATTTACAATTATATAACACCTCTCGCATCGAGAGGGTGACTCAAAGCATTTAATGCTTCAGGACATTGGGATTGCTGACTTGGTCAATGTGTTCGACTTTCTTGACGCGAGGTTCCGGCTGCTCACAACGCGAGGCCAGAAAGGAGCGGAGCATCAATGTTAGGGGCTGGGTTTGGCTAATCCCAACAGCGTTGGAGTTGAGTTGCACAACCTTAACAGGCAAGAATCGTTGATTGACAGCACTTTCGTGTTTAGACACCAAGCACGGGTGAAAAAGGCCAACAAGTCATCATCCTCTGCCTCATCCCCTCCCTTGACTCCTTCAAGACCCCATTCAAGACCTTCCTCTTTGATCGCACCTTAGGTCATCCTCCCAACTCCAACCCACTCCTTGCCCGCCAGCCCTCTTGATTCCAATCCCCAGCTTAGGTGCAAACACTTCACTATTTAGCTCCTCAGGACATCCTCCCGAACTTTACGCTCTCTAATAAACGCAATTTGTTATTGTTGTTGATTATGACATCTCATGTACGGCTCTTGCGCTAAACATGAAGAACCCTGGCCTGACCTGCACCCAAGTAACTCTTATGGAGATATAGAGCGCTGGATTTTGTAGGCGAATCTTGTGAAACCTCTCCCTGTGTCACCTGTGTGCTGCAAACCGTATCGGAAAGTAATGCAATGTGGCTGCCAAGTTAAGAGGAGTTAGTTTCGGAGCGTAGTGGCGTCGTGGCGAGATTCCGTCTTTTAACACTCCGCTCTTTTGTGAGAGCAAAGGTGGTGTTGGTGGGAGATCAGCAACACCAAGCAATTCATCTCTTTGAATCCAATTCTGTGTGGGTTTTGCATGTGTGTGTGTGTCCATGTGTGTGTGTCTGTATATGTGTGTGTATGTGTCTGTATATGTGTGTGTATGTGTGTGTGTGTCTGTATGTGTATCTATGTGTGTGTGTGTGTATGTGTGTGTATGTAAGAAGAAATCGTGAAACCCAGCATTTTTAACTGCATGGAACCATATTGTGCAACAAATATATCCCAGAGGAAAAGAGCCACACACTCTGTAACAGATGCTATAAACACACACACAACCGCGCACTCGCACACGACCTGAACAAGTTATAATAATCCTTGCATTTGATTAGCGCCTTATTACATCGAGGAGACATCTCAAAGAGCTTCACAAAATATACTGTCAAGTGAATTGACTGTGTATTCGGGAGGCAAAATGTGGCAGCCAATTGCAGCAGTGTCCGACAAACAGTCGTGGAGTGAGTTGACCAAATTATTATTATTGCTATTATTTTTAAAACAAAACTTTGGAGGGATGGTTACCCCCGGGAAAGTGATTCCCCAATCGACTAACTACCTACTGCGAGGTAAACAGGGAATTGATTGACTGTACATTCCCTTCTTTAGCAGAAATCAACACTCCACTAAGCGCCTTTCACAGCGAAAGTTCACTTTGCATTGACAGCTGCACTTCACAAATGTAGAAACAAGTTAAACATTGTAAGTCTAGCCTTGTGATTTCCTTTTTGCTCCCCACCCCAACTTAAAATCTCCATAAGCTTCTCTCTGTCCATTTATGCCATTAGGTTTGCTCGCTCTAACTAAACCTTTTCCACGTGTAACGAACCTGGAAATGAATGGTTCAGGAGGGTGAATTTTGTGCGGCGTGATGTGATAAATAACACATAAAGCTCATCTCCCCCGCCCCGGCTCTTAAAAAAAACACACCGATTTTTCCTGATCAACTGAGGGTTAACACCGCAAATCATAACACTCAAAGCAGCAAAGGGGTGTTGCATATTAATATCAATATTAATAAAACAAGGATCTTATTAGCGAATTCATCCCCAGATTGTTTCAATTAGGTCTTTCTTGCTTTCTTTTAGAACTTTTTAAGAGAAAAAATAGTTTGCCAAAGCAGAATAAACGCACGTACCTGACTCTCCTCTTCTCTGTCCTGGTCAAGGTAACCCTGGTCAGAATCAAACCCAGTGCTGAATCCCATCATAAAAAACACCAGCATAAGACAACACAGAGGAGGAATGCTCCAGCTCTTAGACACCGCAACCTCCTAGAGACTTTGCCTTGAGAAAGCACATTGCTTAAGTAAAGGTGCATTATTGCTGCTATTATATATGTATCTATATATTTATAATAAAAAAACTCTTGGAAGATGAATTAATATCTGGATCCCAAGTGGTGTGAGAGGTGCTTTTGGAAGGAAAGGGTTAACAAACAACAAAAAAAAATCCAGCTTTGAAACAAAAATTGATGAAAAGGCTTGAATTCCAGTGAAGGCTCCCAAAACGTTCAGATTCCCTTGTTATTGTTTCAGGATGAAATGAACAAGAGGCAACAGCAGCGCTTTGTGTTAATAGCGATGGAATCCTGTTCCTTTTAATGTGGCAACCCTTAAAAGTGGGTGAGAGGGATAGAGACGTCAGAACGTAGCTATAAACTGCACAGTGAGAGAGAGAGAGAGGGAGTGAGAGAGTGAAAGAAAGTGTCTGGATCTTGAGAGGGGCGTGTTTTTCTATTGGCTTTCTCCTCATCGACCGAGTCGACATAGTTTCCTCGATCCAATAAATATGTGAGGAGCGTGTCAGTGCAACACACACACACACACACACACAGAAGGCGAGTTCAAGAACACAGAGAACTTGCAAAGAGATTTAACTGTTTCCAAGCATCTGCCTTAACTTGTTCCCCCACTCCACACCTTTCCCCCCAAAAAAAAGCAGTTCTTCTCTACCATAAAGTGTCCTTGAAGATTTCTTTGCAGTGTGGTGGAGGTGACGAATATTTCAAATGATAATATTCATCATAATAATAATAATCATAATCCTGGAATTTGATACAGTGCCTCACTTATCACGTCGTTGAGATGTTGCAAAGCGCTTCGCAGGATGTGTTGTAAAGCGGTTTGAATGATTTTTTTGTGGGCGAAACACACAACTCAGGGCTTTGATCATGCAGTTATCGTTAACACAGTTCAATGATTGGATCTGAAAGATAAGCTTCACTGCTTTGTTTATACAGGAAGCAAGGTGTGTCAGGTTTAGCTCAGTTGGTAGCAGGTTAGGTCAGAGAGCCTTTGCTTTGAGCACATGCAAATAAAACTGAAAAGATACCCGAACAATTAGGGTAGTCTCAGCTGGGCAAACAGCAGGACAGCTTGCCAGACTGCGATATCACATGGCAAGCCATGCAGTTTTGACTGGTTACGCTTCAGCCGTACACAACGCACACTCTGTCCTCGTCTCTTGCCAGCGTGGCTTCTTGCCAACCTGCGCCTAATACTTCCTGGAATTAGGTAAAGCAGGATGCATCCCACCAGGGAGACCTGGTGCGCATTTCCATTTCATTCCTAGAATTCATCTCCGAAATTTCCATGTGGAAGTGGGATGTGTGGAAATCTCAAGTTTGGTTTGGAGACTCTTAAGAATGGTGATGGGTTTACGCATGTGTCAGACATCTGGTTGACTCCCAGAAAAGACCTAAATTTCTCAACTTAGCCTCTGCAGCTGCACTGTAATATTAGGCTAGAAAATAAGTTCAGAGACTAAGTTCAGTTTAATGGGGAATGATGAGAAGAGGTCCTGTTTATTGGAGTGCAACTTAATGGGTCACATCTGAGCTTAGGTATAATTTGTGGCATCAACATTTTGCATTGTGTTGGATCAGACGAGTTCATGTGATGTTTCTCTCCTTGAGACAGGAATCTTTTTTTTGTTTAGTGGTGCACAAAATTTTTTTTGCAACTCTGCAACCAGCTCAGGGCTAGGAGTACTACAGAGGAATACTTGATAAATATCTGGTCGAAAACATTCCAGGCGAAGGATGAAGCAGAAATTCCTCAAAAGATGATTTATACAAACAGTAGGAAAGCACTCCCGTTCCTTTGGAAGCTTATTAGCCCGCGAGGGTTGCCTGTTACAGTCACGTGTCTTTTCCTCCCTTTGTTTCTGGTTCAGTACTAATAACACAGAGGATTTGGAGCCCAGTGCATTGGTAGGACTCTCGCCCGTAAGTCAGAAGGTTGTGTGTTTCAAGTCCTATATCGGGACTTGGAATCACGTACATCTAAGCTGACACTCAAATGCAACGCTGGGGCAACGCTGTATTGTCGGAGGTAACGTCCTTCGGATGAGATGTTAAACCGAGGTCCCATCTGCCTGTTCAGATGGACGTTAACCACAGCCACGACTCAAAACGAGAAGGCAGTTTCCCTCTGTGTCCTGGTTAATAATCCCCCAAATACAATTGGTCATGGCTGTTTTCCCTCATACACGCATTCGTCACCTCAAGACTCGACTACGGAAACTCTCTCCTTGTCGGCCTCCTCAACTCTTTCCTCCACAAGCTGCAGATCACCCAGAACTTTGCTGCTCGTGTCCTCTCCCGCACCAGGCTCCGTGACCCCATCACCCCCACCCTCGGCCGGCTCCACTGGCTCCCTGTCCCTCAGAGGAGAAAATTCAAAATCCTCGTCCTCACTTTCGAGGCCCTCCACGGCCTCGCCCCCTCCCACCTTTCTGACCTGCTGACCCTCTATCAACTTGTCCACTCCCGCCGCTCAGTAGGCTCTGGTCTGCTCCATGTCTCCCGCCCGACCCGCCCTACCATCGGCGGCCAGGCTTTCAGCCTCTCTGCCCCCACTCTTTGGAACTCCATCACACAATCCCTTCGCCTCGCTCCCTCTTTTTCCTCCTTCAAGGCATGACTCGAGACCCTCCTTTTTTGACCGTGCCTTCAGCCACCCCCTTACCCCCTTTGCCCTCCCTCATCCCAACCCTGCCCCCCACCCCACGCTCAGGTCCTGATCACCGTTCAGCCCTCGGGACATCCTCCCGACGTGAAATGCGCTTGACAAATGTAATCTTGTTGTTTGTGGGACATTGCTGTACACAGTTGGCTGCCATGTTTCACCCACAAAACTAAAGATACCTTGTGTGGCTTTGTAACTATTAAACTAGGTCACATCAATCCTTTTTTGCAGACCCAAAACATACAATGTTAACAATAATAAAACCAACACTCTGTCCGTTTCTTGACCTGCCTGCTCCTCAGAATGTATAGCGTGAGCTCAATCCATTACTCTTATCATTCATCAGTCACCCAAGGTACTGTCTGTTCCTTATGTGGTTTAACTCTGAACCGCAGACCTTAACGTCAGCCAAAAAGGGGGGGTTGCCAATGCACGCTGCATCCTTAGACTGAGATCCTGGAGATTTCACTTGACGGTATGGAAGTCTTCCCTGTTTGGGCATTTTCACTGTATTATGTGATGTGTCCTATCCCTCAGGAGCAAAATTATTTGAGAAGAGGAGATGGCAGAACACACTGTACATGGTCTGTTATATTGGCAAGCTATAATGGGTGAACTGGCCTTTCTTTGTGCTGTGGTTTCTTCGCAACCCCTACCCCCCCATCCCTCCCCGCCAGACTCTAGCAAATACCTTGAATTGACTCAAAGGGCAATGAAAGGGCAGCAATCGTGACTCCAAGGAACTTAGATACCGACCAATCCTCTCGTGTTCCCTTCGTCCTTGAGTTTAACATTGAACGTGCAACCAATGTGAGTAAATCAATGGTAAGCGAGAACATGCAGTGAAATCCAATGGAGTCTCGTTCAACAAATGAAGGGTTCATCATACTCTGGGCACAGAAAGATTAAACTGTTTCCCGTTTCCCCTTAGATTCCCAGTGGATCCAGTTGATGCTGCTACGTGAGTTGCTGAATCTATTTTCCGAAAGAAAACTGCAACAAGGGATTCTTAAGGTCTTGGTTTCAGGTCTAAAACCATAGAGTCATAGAAACATACAACGCAGTAGGAGGCCATTCAGCCCATCGTGCCTGTGCCAGCTCTTTGAAAGAGCCAACCAACTAGTTCCACTCCCCCACTCTTACCCCATAGCCCTGCAGATTTTTCTTTCTCAAGTACATATCCAATTGCAATGTGAAAGTAACTTCCAACCACCCTTTCAGAGAGTATGTTCCAGATCGTAACAACTCTCTGGGTATATNAAAAACTTCTCCTCGTCTCCCCGCTGGTTCTTTTGCTAATTATCTTAAATCTGTAATCTCTGGTTACTGATCCACCCGCCAGAGGAAACAGTTTATCCTTTCTCTTCATAGAGTTATATAACATGTTACAACATGGAAACAGGCCATTTGGCCAACTAGTCCAGATTTATACGCCGTACAAGCCCTATCCCCCTCTCCTATTCCCCTCTACTCCTTTCTCCCTCATGTAACGCATCAAAATTCCCTCTTGAATGCATTGATGCTTTTTACTTCAACCGGTGTACTGGCCAACAATCCCTCAAAGTAAAATTGGTTACTCTGTGCATGGCTGTTTGTGGGACATTGCCGTGTGCAATTGTGCTGCTGCGTTTTCCTACAAATACACAGTCACTCCATTTCACAGTGATTCCCGTGAAGCTCCTCGAAATGTCCTTCCGATGTGATAAGGCGCTGTACCAAAGGCAAGGATTATAATAATATTCCTTGCATTTGATACAGCGCCTCATCGCATCTCCGAGACGTCTCAAAGCGCGTCACAGAATGTATTGCAACGCGGATTGACTGTGTATTTTGTGGACGAAACCCAGCGGCCAGTTGCGTTATTACCAGTGATGTATCTCAGGATTATTGCTGTTCGGAACATCTGTAGTACATTAGTGCTGTAATGCTCTGCTGTATGTGTTTCTGAGTACAACACGGTCACAAGCTGGGATGATTCCTATTCGGTCATCTCAGGAAATGACTCTGCTGTCCGTGTCTGCTGACTCAAGTGTCCTCAGAATCGGGGACTCCAGAAATTTCCTTTGCAACAGTTTTTCTGAAGAATCACAAAGGATCACGTCATTATATCTTTCCGTTGTGGATACTGATTCAGCTGTTGTTCATTCCTGGCACTCGCTGCGGTTTAAAGAGGGAAGTGGAATACCTTGGCCTCCAATTCTCTGTACTGATGTAGGGGAGACTAGCAAAGGAAGTGTTTAAACACTTCTCCCCAAGAATTAAAATAATAATAATAATGATATTCTCATGCATTCTCTCCCGCACCAAACTCCGTACCCTGATTCCTCCAGTTCTTGCCAAACTCCACTGGCTCCTGCCACAGAACGGATCGACTTCAAGGCCCTCACTCTAGTGTTTAAATCCCTCCATTCCTTGGTCCGC